GCCCCCGGCCCCGCGGCCCCGGCCCCGCACCGCCGAGCCCTCCCGATTTTCCCGGACATGCCCGGCTTTTGGGGATTTCCCCCGGACGGGGATTTGAGCCCCCAAAAGCCGGACATGTCCGGGAAAATCCGGACGTATGGTAACCCTAGTCTGGTAGGACAAAAATAAAACCAGAATAGTCAAAGAGAACATTTATCTCCTCTTCAGGTGACAGCTACCCATCTTACCTAAAAATAAGGGACCAGCTGTTAGCTCTAGCTACATTTTTAGTCTGGGAAGCCAAGCTTAGCAGAAAGGAAAACATTTGTACACAGTGTAGGTTTACCTCAGTTGTCACTGTTACCGGGGTGCTGGAACAATTTTTATAGTGGGGGTGTTGAGAGCCATTGAACCAAACTGTAAACCCTGTAAATGATGGAAACCACTTCAAGCTAGGGGGTGTGGCAGGACCCCTGTTCCAGCACCTATGGCTGTTACCCATTTATTTGCTGTCCTTTCTGCTTTTGAATCCAATAACACGAAGCGAGTCGATTCATCCTCAAGTATCCGCATTCTCCAAACTATCTTGATGGCAGGTACTGGTCTCTAAGAAATGTGCCTAATGCTGCTTTGTTTCTTGGCTTCATGCAGTGGCTTTTCAGCAGGGAGAAGCAGATTTTGGGCCCATGGAAGATGTGATATCTTGATGTATTTCTCAGGATAGGTTGAAAATGTTGCCATGCTGACCTTTGAACACAGAGACTGTAGTTAATGAAACTGTTCAGGACATAGTGATATGCTTTGTTGCCGAGTACAGCATTCAACTTTACTTTTCTGTCAGGTTTATTTACAAACATTTTGTTCCATAATTAATTTTTCACTACAAGGATTTAAGAAAAACAAATGACAACCCTGTTTTTATGGTACAAGTTGTTAAATGCCAAGTAAGCTGAAAAATTCAGAGGCTAGCAAACCCCGGAGAAAAGGTACTACTGTTCAGTGGAAAAAAAACCATTGTGTCCAATGTGCTCAGTCTAACAAATGATGGGAGGCCACCTTTTTAAAAGGTTTTTTCTTAGTGCTTGTAGGTTTTCCAGCACTAGCTACCAGCAAATTGAGAGTAAAAATCAAAGTAATTTAGCAACATATTTGTAGTCCTTGTGATTGGACTTTCCATGGATTCATATGTTTGTCCATGTTTTATATAGAGACATTTCTTATTTCACATCTGTGAATACTTCTTCCTCAAAGGTCCCTCATGTTGTGTACCTATGATGAGGAAGGTACTTATTGTGTAAGCCACCTCTTCTTTATTAGCTTAGGATGTTAATGTTTCTGAGATTCTTGCTCAGCATTTTCAAAGTCCTACCATTTTGGAGGCCTTCCCTTAGGTCAGAACATTGTGTTGAAAATTGAGGCCTCTTCTCTCTCTCTCACTCTTTCCCCCTCCCCCATCTATTCCAAGGAGTCTAGGATTATAGTCTTCCAGTTCTTCAAAATAAAATTGTTGGTAAAAGAAAGGAAAAGAAAATGAGCTCAGATTGCTCAATGTCCTCAGCACTAACTGGTATGATTTATGCCCTATTTTTATACAGGCCTCTTCCTTCCTTTGAAAGTCTTGGATTTTTTTCAGTGATTATACTTTTTATCTCTTTCATGAACTTTCATGGTTGTGTGGAATGTGCTGGGTGGTAGATAGAGATAGCGTACAAATTAAATAGAGGGGGAGGGGGAGACCTAAGATAAGATCTTTTTGAGTCATGTAAATATTTAGTTCCAGTGGTGCAGACACTGCAAACCTAGGTTTGAACAGCCTACACAGCATGACATCCTACACAATTTGTAACTTGATCTCTCTCTGAAGCCAATAAATTACAGAAGGAATGCAGTAACCATTCTCGCTGTTTGTTTAAAATGTGTCATACTTGATAATTTATTGGGGATGAAATCTATGTGAATATAGCCTGTTTCTGTTTTTTTGATGATTAGACATATGTACTCTCTGTAATGAGTGTAAACTTTAAAACAAAATTATCTTGAAATTGCTATCAAAGGATCACGCCATGTTTCTTGGGGGCTTTCAGGAATGGAGATTTCATCCATTCATCATTTGTTTTTTTTTAAACATCCATAAACAGAACAAAGAACTACATTAAAACATGCAAAAATAAGTATATATTTGGTAGTACAGGACTTTTTAATAGAAATATGTCAGAACAGTCTGTTATAATCTCAGACACACAATTCAGAGATAATTGTTATTCCTTACCATTTGTGTGTGTGTACACGTGCATGTAATGGAAATATGTTAGCAGCTCAATAGTGAAGGTTGTAATGCAATTTTGCCTTTATGTATGTGTGTATATATTATAATTATAAAATATTCAGTGTGTGTGTACCATGTGTGTATACAAGGTATATACACATATGCACACACATGCTATATAAGAGCTAAGTACTATATACACACGTATAGATTATATATACAAAATACCATAATGGGTTATTACACCTATTAGACTTTGAATGTTTACATGATCCCACTTCACTCCTGTTGCACTCCAATGTGTGTGGGAGTTCCTTGCAGTCTTAGCCAGATACTGTACCACCACATCCCTGGCAACCCCAATGTCAAAGTGGCATGGTTAGGCTATATTATACTCCAGATATTCCCAGTCAGTAGATGGTCTGTTGGGGACCATTATCAAATGGCAGAATTTGGAGCAGCTCCTAGTTTGCTCTAATTTCTACCAGGGCCATGACCAACATAGAACTGGCCAGATAATCAAGAGGCTTTAATTGGCTCTCTTCTGAGCCTTCTCTCACACTGTTTGCTGCAGCCAGCAGATGTGTACAATAGAGAATTTGGCCTCTAGTTTATGGTGAAAGTATGAAGGTGAAAATGAGTTTTGATGATCATGTCATGTTGTTCCCTCGACTATGCGAATGATACCAGCCTTGGCTGACCATCTACCTTTTCCACGGTGTCTTAATGCTTTCTTCCATGCTGGCTTTATGCATAGAAAGCCCTCTCTGAAGCAGCTGTTAAAGCCACTGCCCTGCTTTTGTAAATTGCTCCTCAATTCTTCCGTAATGTCTACAGGAAAATACCACCTGAAAATGGCTAAGTAAAAGCTAGAGGGGTTGCTGATATTTTGTTCATTTGTATCTTATAATTTTTAATTACTTGAAAACTCCCAGCTGTGCACATAGTTAGTCTTTGTAACTGTGTATTCCTCTCTCTCTTATCGTCCCATTTTCAGTCCCATTTGTTGTGACTTGTCTTGAAACAGAATGCAAGATAGGTTGCCTGTCTTTGTTTGTACAGTGCCTAGCACAAGGGCCTCTGGGCTCTGCTGTAATAGAAATAACAACTAATAGTGAGTGGTCTCATTCTAATTGTTTGCATGGTTAGCCATGTAAGAGCTAGATGCTACTTTTATTAATAGTCTCAAGAATAGAA